GGCGTGGGGGCGGGGAGCGTGGGCGCAGGGGGCGGAGGGGACGGCGACGGCGTCGGGGTCGTCTGGACGTACTTTATGACTTTGACCACTTTGTTGGGGGGAGGCGGCGGTGGGGGTGGACGTGTCGCTCCGGTATACACCCTCACCATGGTAATGGAGGCCCCTATCAGCGCGAAGAAGAAGCCGGCCATGCCCGATGAGGACATCATCATCATCATGCCGTTGACGAGCATGGGCACGATGAGCAGGAAGAGCAGCTTGTAGGCCAGCAGCAGCGGCAGCAGGAACTTCTTGAGCAGCTTCTTTTTCTTCTTGAGGATCTTCTTCTTCTTGAAGCGTGGCTCCCCGTCACGTACGTCTGCCTCGGGGTCCGTGGCGTTGGTGTAGCCATTTGACGGTTTGCTGAGCGCGAGCGCCTGCGGCACGCGCTCGGCGCGCGTCGGGCACTGGCGTCCTGCATCACACGCAAGAGAAATTCAGTTTGGCACGCTTTTTCGAGGCACGGTGGTCCCGCACCTCGACGGACGGGGGAAGGGCGAGACTTGACATCAATATGGAACAACGCTCTTTGGCACCAGTTTATAACTAATTGTTTACAATCTCGGCGTTAATAAAACTTTTCAAGCTCTGCATTTGTTTATTCCCGCACTCCTAATTTATTTACGCCTCCTGTATGTCTCTCCTGCCTCGTTGCTTATTCTGTTATCTGATGGTCAAGATTTAGTCAGAGTTTAATGAGCGACCACCAGGAATACGGATACAGCATTCAGCTTTACTGATCTCAGTGATTATTGTTTCAGTAAAGTCAACCGACAGAGTTAATTGTGTGCTTTTCAATGGATGCATATTTTCTTAATGTTAAAATTAAAACTATTCCGACACTCCCCTCTAGAAACCTAGGTGAAACGAAAGGGAGAGAAGGGCGTTTGTCATGGGAGTGCGCACGCGTAGAGCGGTGCAGAACGCGTTAACGCCGATGCACGCAGAGAAAGTAAATGTAGGCCACCTTTATATCTCTTTGTGTCATCTTTCTGATGCATTACTGTTTCATCCATTTCACCTTCATCGTTCTAGTCATGAAGACAGAGATAGCGAGAGAGTTAGTGTGCGGCTGTAGATATTTACTGTGAACAGTAGAGGTGCTCGGGCTTTGAGATGCAAATGTGATCCGAAAGATTGCTTGGTAAATTACCTGAGACACATTTGACGAAAGTGGAGCACTTGCTCGCGGGGCCGTCGGATCCTCTCGAACAGCACGTTACCGGGGGGCAGGGCCACGACTTGAGCCCCGGTTCCGCGGTGGGCAGCAGGGTCGCCGCGTCGTGCAGCACTTGGTTTTCACGAAACACTTTTTTCACCACCTCCTCGACAATGCCGCCCATATCCAAATTCGGCGGGTTCTCAAGCAGCGGCTCGTCCTCGTCGCTCCCTGCGCCGCTGCTATTCTCCAGGGAGGTCTCCTCCAGCTTGTCGGTGAAGTTGGGAGGGCGCGCGGGCCTGCCGGGGGGCTTCCCACTGGGCTTGGCGCCGAGTGGCTTGGTGACGACCTTGACGTCGGTGAAGGGTATCTTGGTGGGGTTGAGGTGGTGGAAGTTGTCTATCATCGAGACCACATCGTCGTGGTCCAGGTTCACGGATGGCAGGGGTGGCCTAGGCGGCCTTGGCGGCGTCTGGCTCAAGTCTTGCACCACGACGGTGGACACCATCGGCGACCCCATGTAGTGCCCCGGCTTCTGTGTCGTCACGAACGTCGGAGGGTCTCGGTGGTTGTGGTCAATGATCTCGTAAGGCGGGTCCCGGTGGTGGCCCAGGATCTCGACGAAGGGCATGGCGTACGACGGCACCGACGGCCGGGTGACGAAGGGCGCGTACACGGGTCGGACGAGTGGGTAGTCGTACTGCTTGTCGGCGACGGGGAGGTCCGCGGAGGCCACCTTGTCTTTGCTGCTGCTGCTGCTCGTGGAGATGAGCTCGTACTGGTCACCGCGCGCCTCCGCCCGGTCCGGGACGCTTCCGCCCTGCGGCGCGCGGTCGTTGCGGCGGTGAGCGACGGCGGCCACATGCGTGCCGTTGTCGCCGGCGTCCGCGGCCGCGAGGGCGGCGAAGACGACGGTGGTCGCGAGGACTGCGCACAGGACATGCTTAGCAGGCATGCTGCCCACGGCATGGTTCTGGCCTGGCCTGGCCTCGGGGCGCCCCGGCGCGGCGGCGCTCTCTGGGCTCTCTACGAACGCATGGCGCTGCGCCGTACTGCCTCGGCGGGATGCTGGGCGCGACTGGCTGCCGAGCGGGCCGTCGCCAAGGGGCGCAGCCTCCGTGACGACATGTGGGTGACGGCTGCCGTACGGCTGGTGACGCCGCTCACATGGCCGGGACAGTAAGCGCAGCGGCGCGTGCCACGCCGGGGTGCCGCACTCTGGCTGCCGCCGGGGAGGCTCACGCCGAGGCAAGCGCCGCGACGCCCCGCGCGCACGCCCCAACGCAAGCGATAAGCATCGCAGATGATAGGCTCCCGGCCGCTTAATTGCCCCTAGTTGGGCATGTCGCGTGGAGGCATGACTTGACTTGACTAACCACGAGGCCTCTTTTGGCCCAAGGTTCATGATCCGACCGGAGCCGTTCATATAGCGAGGCCCTTCCACCGGGGCACGATGCTGAGCATACATGCTGATCCCGGTTTCCGGTTGCAAACCCAGCATCCTCAAAGATGGCAGCTAAGTGGGTTCCCGAACCCTTGGCAGCCCCGAACAATCACGGAGGGGATTGGCCCCCGTGTTCATTCCTCGGGGGGGCTCAGGGTGCGGGGGCCCTGGTTGATACAGCGCCGTCGTCCTCGGGAGGCAGCGGGGCGGGTTCCCGTACACTTGCCCAACTCGAACGAGCCACGGAGAGCAGAAGCCCCGTGGATCATCCCTCAGCAGGGCAAGAGTACGGAGTACCCGGGTGGGCCGATGACGTTGGTATGTATCTTGCTCTGAGGCGCAGATGCGTTAGGCTTCGGTGGGCTCTTCGGGTGCACCCGTGGGCGAGTGGAGTAGCTGGGGCAGAGGGTGAGGGTACCTCCGCGGCGTGGTAAGAGGTGGTACCGCCCGATGCCTGCGACACGGTGATCGCCCGTCGAACAAAGACAGCTGGGGAGGGGTGAAATGAAGCATTGCTACGCCAACGATGGTGTTTGGGTAGAGGCTGCAGTAGCGGCGGCGGGCGTGGCGTGGCGCGGCGGGGTGTAGGGCAGAGGGGCGCGCTGCAGCGACGCCACGCAGCAGCAGCATAGGGAAGGCCAACCAAACCGCTGGTACCGGGTCGCACGGGCTCGACGCTGGTAGGGAGGACAGAGCAATTTGACGCACAACAGCCTGTTTTAGCCGCGTCCGTGGTCCTGCAAGAGAGTGTACGTCGCTGAGAGTGCAGAAGATCTCGACGGCGAAGGGTAACGTCGTTGACGAAGGTTTGGTGTCTTGACCGGGTGCACCCTGTTGAACCCCGCGCAGTCTTCGTTTCTTGAACACTTGCTGGTCTGGGGCGAGTGGTTGCCCCCCCCCCTCCCCCGCCACCCGAATAGGACGAGGGGGCGGGGAGGGCGGGTTGGCTTCCTAGAAGTGCGTAGGGTCGCTGCAGCCTCCTCCCCCCCCTCCCCCTCCCGCCCAGCCCCGCTCCACACTGCGACCGCTGCTCTCATGCCGTCCAGGGGGGCAAAATCGCGCTGAAATAAAACGAAAGTTACACGACTCAAACCAGCGGCGTGCTCCTTCCAGCTGCGAGGGGTGGCTGTAGAGCAACGGCAGTTGGG